TGTACCAAGTTTGGATAAAATCAGATGCTCCCTTCCAGAGTTATCGTGCACACAAGCCAGTCAGACATACGGACCTTCGCCTCCTGATATAAATGGTCTGCTGGTAACATGAGGAGCCAACCTGTTGTAGTTCTCAGGGCAGCTTTCTGCCAGGTCTGGATACTGGATACACTGGGCCGAAAAGTTAACCATAAACTAACCTATCGCGTAATAGGTTAACCAGGTATCCACGCTACAAATGCTGCCGATTTTTATACCCTCCACCTTGGTAAGGAGGGTATATTAACTTTGTCATTCCGTTTGTAACATCCTTAAATATTCGTCGTAGACCCCATAAAGTATATATATTCATAATCAGCATAAAATTCTAAGTCGATTTAACGATGTCCGTCTGTCTGTCTGTCTGTCTGTCCGTCTGTCTGTCTGTTGAAATCACGATACAGCCCACAGTATACCACGTTCTGGTATAGTCCCCATATAACGGTACCTCCCGATATTCGGTATTTTGATGATTTATGCCACATTTTTTCACGGATTTGCTTGAAAATTGGTATTTGTCATAACGGTCATAACGGGTCCCTGTGCGTGTGGCAAAACATTGCATGTATAGGTCCACGTTTTGGTATAGCCCCCATATAACGGTACCTCCCGATATTCGGTATTTTGATGGTTTTTGCCACATTTTTTCACTGATTTGTCTAAAAATTTGTATTTGTGGATTATAATGGGTCCTAGTTCGTGTGGCGAAACATTGTTATTATAGGTCCACGTTTTGGTGTAGCCCCCATATAACGGTATCTCCCGATATTCGGTATTTAAATGGTTTTTGCCACATTTCTTCTAATGTTTCTTTAGGTGGAGGGTATTAAAAGTTTGGCCCGGCCGAACTTAATGTTTTTTTACTTGTTTGCACTTGATACAGGAGTAGATCGTGAAAAGCACATATGCTTCCATGCATTTTTTATACCCTCCACCATTCTATGGAGGGTATATTAACTTTGTCATTCCATTTGCAACTCCTCGAAATATTCATGTCAGACCCAACAATGTATTTATATTCTAGATCAGTGTAATATTCTAAGACAAATTAGCCATGTCTGTGTGACTGTCTGCCTGTTGTAATCTTTCGAACGAATTGAGATAGATGGCTAAAATTTTGCATACATGTATATCTTGCCAGTAGGCAAGTTAAGTTTGTAAATGGGCCATGTAGGCCCACGTTATCATATAGCCCCCATATAAGGGTACCTCCCGATATTCGGTATTTTTATGATTTTAGCGACATTATTCAACGGAATTGTTTCAAATTTGGCATTTGAAGTTCGAAATGAATACTATAGCCTATGACAGACAATTGTCTGTGCAGGTCCACGCCTTCGTATAGCCCCCATATCTTTTCAAACGTGGCATATCCTAATATTTCCACCAACACAAGATACTATTCCTTTTGGTACTTCCCACAAAAAGGGGTCAAAATTTGGAATAGTTGTATCTATCAGAAAATGTGAAATAAGCACCCTCTTTTCTTCAAATTTCACACGTTGATATTTTTTTACTAATAAAATATCTTGTGTGAAGGTGGAATACATCGGTCTACTAGTTCCAGTACCTCCCCAACAACGGGTAAACATTTTAAATAATTATGTCTCTCATAAAATGCGAAATAACATATCTCATAAAATGTGAAGAAATTTGTCGATATAGTCCAAATCTAGAATGATTGTGCATACGTGGCGTCTGGAGGGCGAGGAATTCTAGAAAGGTAGAGTTTCAACAGTTCCAAGATATCACCCACTTTGGGGAACTCCCTATTTCAATCAAGGAGGGTTTAGACTATTTGTTCAGGAATTCCACGAACGACTGGCATCACCACATTTGATTATCCAACGTCTCTAACATGACCGGAGGATAGTACTCTCTCTCTCTCTCTCTCTCTCTCTCTCTCTCTCTCTCTCTCTCTCTCTCTGGTTTACTGTATCAAACGTCTTTGATAATTCAAGTGCTATCGGCCTTTTCTATGGCAACCGCTTGACTGGTATAGTCTTCGATATGGTGCGCAATGCACGTGTGGTACTATTAATGGACGGAACCCATCAAGACGGGTTCCGTCCATTAATAGCTTTCTCTAATGCTGCGCAGAAGTAAAGCCTCAAGGGCTTTCGCTACTGGCGACAAAAGCAAAAATAGCCTGCATAATTCGTTTTAACTAGCATCCTTGCCTGACATCAATCGTGGGATTTACACTCCCATTTCCCAGACTTCGGGAACCACAACAGATTGAAGACATTAGTGAGAAACTCAACCCGCTGCGTTTTCAACATTACCATTGATATTCCGTGTGAGCCCAACACTCTACATCGTAAACTGTATGGTTCCTCTTCGGCAGGAATATAGTACGATTTAACCGCTACCCAATGTTGCAACACTTCAGATGGTCTAACCACTTTTTATACCCTCCACCATAGTATGGAGGGTATATTAAGTTTGTCATTCCGTTTGTAACACCTCGAAATAAACATATTAGACCTCACAAAGTATATATATTCTTGATCAGCATAAAATGCTATGTCTATTTAGCGATATATCTGTCCGTCTGTGAAAATCACTCTAGCTTCCGAACGAAACGAAGTAAGTTGATAAAAATTTACTCAAATTAGTATTGTGTCTGCAGGACTTTTGGTATTGAAAATGACCCATGTAGGTCCACGTCTTCGTATCGCACCCATATAACGGTACCTCCCGATATTCGCTATTTTGTTGATTTTAGCGACATTATTCACCGGAATTCTTTCAAATTTGGAATTTGATGTTCGTAATGGATGCTACAGCCTAAGACAGAAAATTGTCTGTGCCGGTTCACGTTTAGCCCCCGATATTCGTTTAGCCCTCGATATTCGTTATTTTGTTGATTTTAGCGACATTATTCGCCGGAATTGTTTCAAATTTTGTATTTAAAGTTCGTAACGGATACTAAAGACGTGCCGGTCCACGTCTTCGTATGGCCCCCATATTACGGTACCTGCTGACAAAAGTTGCCTATGCAGGTCCATGTCGTCGTATAGACCCTAACGTAACAGCTACATTCTGTATTTTTAAGATTTTAACTGTATTTTTAAAGGATTTTATTGTTTTTGAGAATTGCAAAAATCGTTCCAAATTCGTGGTGGAGGGAATTCACCCCGCCGAACTTACAGCTTTTTTACTTGTTTGTCATAGGTTGTAACATCCATTACGAACTTCAACTACGAAATTTGAAACAATTCCGCTAAAAAATGTCGCGTATTTACGAACTTAACCTGCTTACTGGCAAAATACACATATGTTCACCCTTCTATCTCAATTCGTTCGAAAGATAGCGTGATTACAACAGACAGACGGGCATAGCTAAATCAACTTAGAATTTTACGCTGATCATGGAAAATGTGGTGACCACATTTATGGGAAGCAGAAAATTGCCACCACTTGCGGAATATCACTTTTAATAACAAATCTAAAAATATTCCCTATAAATTTACCGTATTTTGCTGGTTCTCAGTAGCTTGAGTGACCAGTAATACATTTCCACGGGAGCTTCGGGCTCGCAGTTCTAGCCAAAAACTAGAGTAGTAACGTAGAGGTTGTCGTAGACCTTAGCATAACCCGATTAACTAACCTCTGAGCGCGGATACGAGTTCGCCATCATCTACTCCTCGTACACGACTCGAAAACCTGTAAGACGATCGCTTTTCACCAGAGCTCCTATTTATAACCCGACCTTATCATCCTTATCCCCTCACACCCGACTTCCATTCATCAGATTTTCCGATTATCTTCAAATCGTCTACAAAACGAACCTTACCATCGTAATCCCGGGCATCTGATGCACATTCATAAGAGATTCTGATTATACACAAATAGACACTTCGTCTTCAACACGAATATCAGCATCATAAACATTTCCGACCGTCATAAGCATCGAATTTCCGATCATCAATTGCAACTGAACAGCTATATATTCAATTCTCGAGTATATCTGAATTCGAATCCACAACATACCTATTGAATCAATTTAAACAAGCATAACCCGATTAACTAATCTCTGAGCGCGGATAGAGTTTGAGTTCCATTCATCAGACTTTCCGATTATTTTCAAATCGTCCACAACCCGAACCTCATCATCGTAATCCCACAACATACCTATTGAATCAATTTAATCGCATTTAAAACAAGCGAATTTAAGCTCCAGGAAAGGTAGAATTCTACTCTTCTTAATTTTATAAGCTTTAGTGGGTCCTATGGAGGTCTCGGCTGCGACTAAGCTTACCCTCGTCGAGGAGAAAACCACGCTACAGCATTTTGAAATATTTAACTTCTAAATTAGGTTTCAATAACCCAAAATCTCATTTCTCTGGAAGCTTAAGATCCTCTCCGAGCCAAATGTCGTTTCAGACATACAATACAAAAATGACACTTACATGACATAAAATAACACGCCACGAATAAGTGCCATATCATTCCCTAATCGGTGCTGAGATTTGTTGTTGATGATAAAACTCCCTCCACGTTAGAAATAAATGATATCTGTCTCAGAATAGATTGCTGATGATAATGGTGATGATGATCTTGTTTGATTGCGCTGCAGCTGCCGGCGCTGTTGATGAAGTCTAAGATAAGATTTAACAAAGGCGGCGATTATGGAGGTTGAGAGATAAGCTGGTTGGAGAAAAAAAAGAAGCCAACAGCAGCGGCCATGTGGCCGAATCTACTTTCTTAGAAAATTTTCAGAGGCAGACACAAATAAAGGGAAGAAAGTTTAGATGAATTACATTTATTAACCGAGAAACAACAAAAAACATTTTATTTACCTTGCTTTATAATTATTTGAACAATTTATCAAGAAACGCAACCAAAAAGAACAGCAACAACCACATAAAAGACACTCACATTTATGGCAGCCTCTTTAACTGATGATGATGGTGATGCCCGACTGCCTGCCTGCCAGCCTGCTGACTACCCCACATGAAACAAAAACAAAATAAACTGCCACGAAAAAAAGCCACTAACATGAAATGAATGAATTTACTGTCGTGTGTCGTCTCTTCTTTGCCAGGTTTTAAAAATGCTTGTAAAGTTTCCAGAGGAACCAGTCCAGACGTGACATTCAAACCGATACAAAGCCATTGTCAGAACATTTCTTCCCCATTCAAATCAAGGGGCAAAAACATCATCATCGGGCGGAACAAAGAAAATTCAAATCTCCCCTCCACCTCTCCCCCAACCGAACTATCCACCCAGAACCCTGCCCATAGCAGAAAACAACAAATCGAATAGCATATTCGTTAAAAAAAAAAATTAAAAAAAAATAAAAACAAAAAATAACGATCCTTAATTGAAATACCCAACAGAATATGACCATTAATAAAAGTCCAAGTTTTGAGTGAATTTTTCTTCAACAACAAAGTGCAAATTAATTGAAACAAAAGAAAACGCAAATAAATAACAAAGAATAGTGCATCTGGAAGCCAGAGGCTTGATTTGTGTTTAAAAAAATAAAAGTTTTGAAAAAAAATAAAAATTTATTAAAAGTGATTAAGGAAGTCATATTAAATTAACAGATTTTTTGTGAATTATTCAAGTATTATCTCAACGTTTTTCCAAAGGAATATTCCAAAATAAATTATGGCTGTCACAGATGTTAACAACGATGACGATCCAAATACCAACACCACATGCGATAAGACGAAAGGTAGGAATTTATTTTAATAATAAAAAAATAATAATTATAGTGGGTATTATAAGAATTTAAATTATTGCAATTTTGGTTAATATGTTTTAATTAATTCGTATTAGTGAAATTATTATAAATATTTAAAAATAACTCCACACTAATAATAATTATGACAATTACATAAGTCACTCTAACCTGAGACGTAATCATTTTGGATTATCTGGAGATAAAACTATAAATTAAACTAAGTAAATTTAAATATTTACGAGAGTCAATGTTTTTTTTTTTCTTTTTTCTTTTTTTGCGACCAAAATAAATTGTATATATGGAAATTCGTACTACAAGGATGTGCAGTAAGGTCTTGAAGGTTAACCCACGTGGTTTTATTATAAAACTTGAAAATATTATACACAAGGTGGCGCAAAAGTAATCCTCCTATCAGAAAATGCTATACATTTTACGATTGGCCCCTAATGTCTTAATTGTAGCAAAAAAAAAAAAAAAAAAAAACAAGTAAAAACGCTGTAAGTACGGCCGTGCCGAACTTTGAATATCCTCCACCATTTTGAACGAATTTGGCAATTCTCAAAAACAATAAAATCCGTTAAAAATTCAGTTAAAATCTTAAAAATAACGAATGCAGCGGGTCTATACGACGACATGGACCTGCATAGGTAACTTTTGTCATAAGCCATTACAATTTTCAAATGCGAAACTTAAAAAACAATGTGTGAATAATGTCGTTAAAATCATCAAAATACTGAATATAGGGAGGTACCATGGGAGTTATAAAACGTGGACCTGCGCAGACAATTTTCTGTCATAGGCTGTAGTATCCAATACAAACTTCAAATACTAAATTAAAAAAAAAAAATTCTGGTTAATAATGTCGCTAAGATCATCAAACTACCGAATATCGGGAGGTATTGTTATATGGGGGATATACGAAGACATGGACCTGCACGGAAAATTTTCCGTCAAAGGCTGTAGTATCCATTACGAACTTCAAATACCAAATTTGAAACAATTCTGGTAAATAATGTCGCTAAAATCTTCAATATACCGAATATCGGGGGGTACCGTTATATGGGGGCTATACGAAAATGTGGACCTTCACAGACAGTTTTCTGTCATAGAATATAGTATTCATTACGAACTTCAAATACCAAATTTGAAACAATTCCGGTAAATAATGCCGCTAAAAACATCGAAATACCGAATATCGGAGGTACCGCTATATGGGGGCTATACGAAGACGTAGACCTACATGGCCCATTTTCTGACTTAAGCCGTAGTATCTATTACGAATTATTATATTATTATATTATTTTCAATACCAATAGGGGGCTATACGATATTCGAACCTGCCTGCAGACAAAATACAGATCGATGCAAAATTTTAGCTTCCTATCTTTATTCGTTTTGACTTTAGCTTGATTACAACAGACGGACAGACGGGTGGTAGATCGTCCTAGAATCTGAAGGTGCCTAGAATCTGAAGGTTTGTCACAATCTGACCCCCGAATATGTTTGACGGCAAATACAAAACGACAAAAAGTACGTGCCAGCAAACAAATATTCGACCAGTGGGCACCTAATGTGAACACTGTGACCAATTATTTTACCGTGTGCAAGGACAATAACACATCTCCTTCCCAGTGTATTATCATGAGCAAATACAATTTTAAGTTTTTATTTGAATGGTAGAGATGATTTTCGTTAGTATAGTGATCTTCGTTAGTATAATGATGGCTTATCCGCATACATTTTTCTATCTACTTATAAGAGGTTTATATTATTTCTAATTTGGAATTGTTTTAACAAACAAATATGTTCAGGGTTCAATACACTCTTAAACCGGATTATTTCTGCAACGATCATTTAACAACATTTTATTCGCAAACAAATGTCCAAATCATCTCCACAAAAACGATCGCATTCATTACAAAAGAAATGATGTTGTCAAATTAAGAGGCTTTTAATGATGACATCTGGATAACAATTTGTCACGTTTTAAATTATCAAGAAATTTCAAAAATATTCGCCGCCAAATTTACAATGTAATAAAATCATTATTTTTATTCTGATATTCAGCGGCCAAATACTCGTAATACAAATACATTGAATTGTGTGTTCAGACAAAAACACACTGCAATTGAAATCAATTTAAAGCGTTCAATGTAATAAATTATACAATGTAAATCAGTGATGTAATTGGTATGGATTTTTCAAAAATATTCTAAAATTTGAAAGAGGTTAAAATTAACCACCACGTCATAAAACATGAACCAAAAATTTCCCCTCGCAAAAAAAAATTTTCAATAATGGCATAGGCCTCTATAACAGAACTTCCACATTTTAGGAATTTTTGAAGTCAGTCGGTTTGGCAGAATTCATGTTTTCATATTTTTACTTTTTATACCCTCCGTTTGTAACACCTCGAAATAGACATTTTAGACCCCACAAAGTATATATATTCTTGATCAGCATAAAATTCGATGTCGATTTAGCGATGTCCGTTCGTCTGTGGAAATCACTCTAGCTTCCGAACGAAATGAAGTAAGTTGATAAAAATTTACTCAAATGTGTATTATGTCTGCAGGACTTTTGGTATTGAAAATGGGCCTTGTAGGTCCACGTCTTCGTATAGCCCCCATATAACGGTACCTCCTGATATCTGGTATTTTGATGATATTCACCATATTTTTTTAAATTCGCATTTGAATATTGTAATGTCTGATGACAATAGTTACCTATGCAGGCCAATGTCGTCGTACATACCCTAATGTAACAGCTATATTCGGTATTTTTAAGATTTTAACAGAATTTTTAAGAGATTTGATTGTTTTTGAAAATTGCCAAATTCGTTCCTAATGGTGGAGGGTATTCAAAGTTCAGCCCAGCCGAACATACAGCTTTTTTACTTGTTTTTCTTAAATTGAATATTTGATGCCAAAATACAGAGTATAAACACTTAGCATTATTTTTCGGTTCAGATTACGATATAGCTCTCATATATATCCTCAACCTTTTTCATTAATTAATTGTGCGCAAAATGGCCAATATTAGTCCAAAAGTCCCGAATTTGGCCAATCCGACCGTATTCAAACTAGAAGCAAGTACATTAAATTTGGTGAAAATCATTCATCTGATTTGGGGTTTTATGTCCCTCACAAGAATGAATGGCATCAGATACCGCTCGAAACAACGTATGCCAAGTTTTATCAAGAACGATTCAGATTAGAATGTAGCCCCCATATATATCTTTATCCACTTTCAGGTTTATTGTGCACTAAATGGGTAATATCAGCCCAATTGACTGAATTTTGGTAATTCCGATCGGACTCTTCGTAGAAATCAGTATTTCAAATGTGGAGAAAATCGGTTCAGATATAGCTATAGCTCCCATGTATATATTTTATTATGTTTAAAGTCCCTCACAAGAGTAATATGCACTCCACGACAATTTTCTTTGGTACCAGATATCAGATACAGCTCAGAAATAAGTGTTTCAAATTTTGTCAAGATCGGTTCAGATTTGGATTTAGCTCCCAAATACATACATCTTTACCCGATTTTAGGTTTTTGGTGCACAAAATGGCTAATATCAGCCCAAATGGACTGAATTTTGGCCCTTCCGACGATACTGTTCGAAAATACCTCCGCCAAATTTTATCGAGATCGAGTCAGATTTTTATGTAGCTTCGATATACATTTTCATCCGATTTAACAGTTATTGCTCACCATATACATAATATCAGCCTAAATTGAATAAAGTTTTTCATATTCAACCGAATTTTACCATTTGGTCAAACTCGGTCCGGTATATCTATTGCTCTAATAAATATATTTATACCCTCCACCATACTATGTCTGTCTGTCCGTCTGTCTGTTGTAATCAAGCTATTTTTCGAACAAATTGAGATAGAAGGATACAATATTGCATACATGTTTATTTTGCCAGTAGGCAGGTTAAGGTCGTAAATGGGCCATGTAGGTCCACGTTTTCAAATTTGGCATTTGAAGTTCGAACTGGATACTACAGCCTAAGGCAGAAAATTGTCTATGCAGGTCCACGTCTTCGTATGGCCCCCATATAACGGTGCCTCCCAATATTCGGTATTTTGATGATTTTAGCGACATTATTCACCGTAGTAGTTTCAAATTACGTACTTAGAGTTCGTAATGGGAACTAAAGTCTGTGACAGAAAATTGCTTATGCAGGTCCAGGGCTTCGTATAGGCCCCATATATCTGCTCCTCCCTATATCCGGTATTTTGACGAATTTAGGTATTTGAAATTCGTAATGCATGCTACAGCTTAAGACACAAAATTGTCTATGCTAGTCCAGGTCTTCGCACAGCTCCGATATAACGGTAATTTCCTATATACGATATTTTGATGATTTTAGCTACATTATTCACCGTTTATTTCAAGTTTCGAATTTGAATATTGTAATGACTTATGACAAACAATGCCAATGTAGGTCCACGTCGTATAGACCCCAATATAACGGCTACATTTGGTATTCTTAAAACTTTAACAGAATATTTTAAGGATTTTATTTTTTGAAAATTTCCAAATTCGTTCCAAATGGTGTAGGGTATTCAAAGTTCGCCCGCCGAACTTACTGTTTTTTAACATGTTAAATATAATCCTTATCGAAGTCATATTATGCACAATACAACAATGTTATTTGGCTCATAGTTGGTATGATCTACTTAACTTAAATTCCCAATATAAACCTTTATGTTCCGGAAGCTCTACTAAACACGCATAGTGGTGTAGGCTTTACCTTTTTTTGACCTTTCCTTAGTGGTTTTTCTTAAATTGAATATTTGATACTAAAATATAGAGTATCAACACTTTCCATTATTTTTTGTAGCATGCAGCATGCTAGAAATATTCGCATGCGATAAAATAGCTATTTATGTTACTCCAAAATAATTACGATTAAAATCGTATGCCTTCGCTGCCACTTTGTAATGTTAATTAATATTTCTCATGAATTTGAAACCTCTTTGCTTTTATAATTTCTTAACAATTAAAAATAAAAACACATCAAAAACCACACTTAAATTATGTTCGGTATTGAATGAACTCGGCACTCGTAGCACATGAGTACAACAAAACCAGTTATGGTCAAACCAAAAAAAAAAACAAATCCAACATTCATATTCTTTTCTTCATTCAACACTGCAACTGAGTAGATCGTTCGTTCGATCGACAGTCAAACGAGTTTATGTTAATTAACCTTCTAAACCATTTACATGCTGCCAAATGAATGAATGAAGTACAAACATTTCACATTAATCCCAAATAATTTTGTTGGGTTTTGTTCAATTATTTGAGATTTCCAAGAAATAGAAGGAAATTAATAAAAAATTGGACCAAAACCTATTCTGGATTATCCGGTATGCCTGGATAATAATGGGTTCAAAGATTTCAACGGCATGCAAATAAGCATGCGTCTAACATACGGGAAGAGTCTTCGTCTCCACACCCTGTGGCAAATCATTGTCTATATAGGTTCATGTTCTGCTATAGACCCCCCCCCCCCCCCCTTTATTTCTGTAATACAATACTCGATATTCTGATGATTCTAGGCATATTTTTTATATTCTAGGCATATATATTTTATATTTTTCAGGAGAATCGTTTAAAATTCGTTATACATATAGAGCTTGTAATGGGCTCTGTCTTCTGTGGCAGAAGACTGCTGGAAAAGGCTGATTAATATTTTTATAAATCATAAGGCGGCACCCCGGTATTTTGGTGATTTTAGCTACATTTTTAGTAGATTCTTTTCAATTTGGCGTTTAAAACTCGCAATAGATAACAACCACCATAGCAGAACCCGATACCGTCATCTTTATGACATGACTATTTCACTGGCAAAAATGAAAGTGGACCCAATATTCAAGCACGACTTTTTATTTGTAAAGTTGTAGGGTAAAAAATCACAATTATTAATTTTGTTTTTTCAAGGGTCATATTTATTGAAGAGACTCCTTACAATTTAACAGATAACTGTACTTTAGACTTAAAATATAGGAACTCACAACTTACAACTCGTTTGACATACAGGGTTGCCCATATTCGACGGATCCATCTGGCAACGCCATAACTTTTGACAGAGATGTCACGTCGCTTAATGACATACCGTGTTTGAAGCGTCAGTCCAAGCAGATTTTTGCCATGAACCAATACACGCCACGAGAGCGCTCTGAAATTTACATTCAACAGAAGAAGTCAATTGCGAAAACTCAACGTGCTTTTAAAACATTAAAAATGTGAGAAGTGCGCCTTCTAAGAACACCATTAAGCGTTTATACGAAAAATTTTCGACTGGTAAGGCTCTTTCTAATCCGAAGAGGCCATATAAAAGTCGACCAAGGCGATCGGCCGAGAATAGCGCTGCCGTACGAGCCAGTGTTGAGAGGTCCCCAAGAACATCTCAAAAACGCCGTTCTCAGCAGTTGGGCATGGCTCGGTCCACTTTACAACGGATTATTCGCACTGATTTGCATTTGTTCCCGTACAAAATTCAATTGACGCAAAGAATGTTGCCTGCGGACAAGCCTCGTCGATTGGAATGGGCCCAAAGGTCCGTCGAATATGGGCAAGCCTGTACATTTGCTGTGTTATTTTCATCGGCAGCAACTCATCACGATCATTTGCTAGTCCCGCGTCATTCAATCGCTAGTCCCTTTGCGGAGTTTAGTGTCCCTCTCTCAAGAAACGTTTGATGAACTCCCTATATTAAGCTCAATTTGTCTTAGTATGTTTAATGAAAGCAGGACATAGATTAACCTATCTATGTCCTATCTGGTGATTTACCGATGTCATCGATACGGGTGGGAGGATATGGTGCTTGTCTGATTAATAGTTAAATATTAAATGGAGTCGTTTTAATAGGGAAAATATTAAGAAAAACACCAATACGAAATAAAGCCAATTTCAAAAAAATGCTAAACTTTATGACGGAACATCCACAGTTAGCTAGAAGCTACATAAAAGCACCGGACTCTAAGCAAGCCACCAATAATTTACGGACACTTTCGACAAAAGACCTAAATGATGGCTGTCAACATATGCGGGAAGTGGTAGCCTAGGAAAAACTAAATAATACATACTGAAAATTGCGAAAAAAAGGCCACTGTAATTTTTCATGCATAGGTGATGGCCCTGCACAATTTGTTCATTCACCGCATTTTAGAAAGCCTAATAATTTTATTGCAAATGAAGGACTTGCGGCCAAAGAGCAATCGAATCTTTTTTTTAATTTTTTGAATTGCGTGGAACATAAATATATTGTTTGCTTTTTAGTTTTTGCTTTGATTTTTCTGACGTTTGCGGCTAAAAAGTGAGAAAGGAACGGTTCGAATGCTGTTCCAATTCTCCTTTTACTTTTAAAATATGTTCCTTACGTACTACTGAAACTAGTCTAACTCCAAAAGGAGATCCTGTATATATATTAAAAAACTTCTCAGCGTAAAAAAATCATAATTATTTTCTCTTATTTCATAAGTTTAATGTAGATATATAAGAACACATGTGTATAATGTTACAAAGTATATTTGCTTATATTTTTGAAAATCTGAAAGCGTTTAATATATCACTCATTCAGCTTTGGCATTATCCATTAATAACAATTCATCCAATGTCACATTGAGATCTTTTAAATTCCACTCCACCCAATTGTCTACTTTATTTACCACTTCCGGAGACAATTCCTGTTTATAGGCATTCATTTGGCCCTTGCGTATAAAATTAAACCTTGAAAATTGAGAAAAGAAGAAAAAGAGAAAAGTTATAATTTATTTAATGTTAATTGCTGAAATCCTTCATAACATACTCTTGTCCTTCCGGTTGTAGACCATGTTTGGCACGAACTTGTTGTAATTCCCAAATATGATTCGTCTTGGGATTATTCTTCATTTCCTCAAAGGATAAATGTTTTAGCATTTTCTTCATTGTTTCATCGTCGATGGTTTTATTCAAAAATTGACAAACATCCAATATCACCTGGCGCAATTTCATTTTCATGCATTCAAAACTGGTGTAAAATAGCCAAGGTTCGTGACGCAATGCATAGAATTCGGTTATATGTAAAAAGGGGTCATGCAATTTAGTGCCCTCAATCTCCTCCACAACATAGTTGTCCAATGTTTTGTCATCGAAAGCCCCAACATTGCGTGCATGATAATATTCCGAGACAATGGCATCTTTGACGTTGCGGGCCACATAAACGACCTGGAAAAGGGAGAGAGAAAAATTATTTCTCTAAAAAACAATTAGAGTTGAAATTGTGTTGTTATTTACCTTGGGTTTCTTGTCCCAAATTTGATGCGGCAGTAGTGGCAAACTCAAATGGGTTTTAATAAGGCGAGGCCGGCTCAATTGTTCAATGGGTCGAAAACAAGTTTCCAAATCATTGTTGATCATATAATCAAATCTACGAAAAACAAAAGAATTTTGTTAATATCTTTTGGTATTTTTTATTCATTTCAATAATCTCACTCCATATATGGCGAGCGTAGTTCCAAGTGTTCCCTTTTGGCTGTTTCAAAGTCAAAATTATTCATTACCAGCCACAACAGTTCCTGCATCCATGTTGTACCACATTTCGGCAATGTCACTAGCCACACATCATCTGGCAGCACCTCAACATCATGAACTTTCTTTATGTAGTCAAGGCGATCGGTGCCATAGTGCAGCTTACGCTTGGACCAATCTTTTTGTAAAAGATTTGTTGGATAGCGCGCTGGCTTGTAATCTGTTAGTGGGATACCCATTACAAGAGCGTTACATCTATACTGTACTCCACAAATGCTAGATAACAACTGAACGGAACAGCCGTTAACTCTGCTCATTTCATTGCAGGTCAGACAAGCCGCCAATATATTTATTATTGTTTACCACAAACTGTTTACATTGTGAGTGCATAAAATCTACATACGAATGTGGGTCTCTCACGCAGTTGGAGAGTCAGAATAAAAAGAGGCATCAGAAATTACAATAGCTATTTACTATTAAATATTTATTTAACTTCATAACACAATTGTACGATAAGATTAACATATGATGACAAGACCCCGCAAAAAAAAAACTAAAGATGAAAAAGGTTTTGGAACTTTCTGGACCAAGTTGTAATTTCAAAATTTGTACAGGGTGAAACTGCAACCAACTTCAGACTGCTGTCATTTCTAAGCCACTCGTCCGAAAGCTGTTAAAATTACTGCAGTGACAGCTCATTATATTGTTTACAAGCGTTCAACAAAATGTTGGTGAGAATTTTCCAGAAAAAAGTTATTCGTGACGGAATTCAAGCGTGATTTCTTTATATTTGGCTGGAACACCGCAAGTGGCTATCGTTAGAGCACTCCAGCGTTTAAATGTGAATAAATCTTTTGTGTCTCGTACCATCGCTCGTTACCGTGGCACTGGTTGCGTAGCCCGACGTCAAAGAAGTGGACGAAAGAAAACAGGAACATCAGCAGAAATGGTTCGAAAAGTAAAGAAGCGACTTCATCGAAACCCGAGTCGCAGTGGCCGAAAATGGTATGTGAGCTGAGCATATCGCAATATTCCATTCGGCAAATATTGAAAAATGAGATCGAGGTAAAGCCATTGAAATTCCAAAAAGTGCAAGAACTTACACTGCAACAGAAACCGAAAGAAAATAGCCTCAAAAAAGCTAAAGAGTTGCTTCGCTTGGCCCAATGTGGTGAACTGCTGAATTTGGTTTCCTCCGATGAGAAAACATTCGTTATCCAGCAGTTTGTAAACAAACAAAATGATTGTGTTTACTTGCCAAAGACGTCAGCTGAAAATGTGCACCTTCAGTTGGCCACCAGAAGTCAATCACCGGCCATGGTGATGGTGTGGTCCGCCATAACAGCCGATGGTCGCTCTCCGCTCGTATTAATCGACAGTGGCATCAGAATAAATGCCGAATATTATCACGAAAATATTCTGGATGGTGTAATAAGGCCTTGGGCATGCAAACATTTTGGCCGCAGACCTTGGACATTTCAACAGGACTCAGCACCATCGCACTCAGCATGCGCCAACCAAGAATAGTTACAAAATGAGGTTCCTCTCTTCATTTCCACCACACAATGGCCACCAAAATATCCGGATACCAATCCGTTGGACTATTGTGTCTGCTTGCTTTCCAAAATCAAGGTTGGCACTAAAAAATACCAAAATGTCGATCACCTCAAGCAAGCGCTTCGCCGGGAATGGGCCAAAATACCGCAGAGCAACATTTGGGCAACGTGCGGCGGTTTCATAGGCCGTTTGAAGGTCATAATTCATGCCAAAGGTGACCAATTCGAACAAATTTAAACTTATTCTTAATGCCGACCATTTTTGCTGTCATTCAATAAAATTAAAAAGAAATGTAAAAATTATGGCATTTGACTTTGTTGCAGTTTTTTATATCTCACCCTGTATTAGAAGATGAAATTTTCTCTAATCCGTCAAGATAATAATTTTCTAGTGTAAGTATTTAATTGGGCGATGTTTTCGTGAGTTCTAATTTGATTTCATGCCAATTTTTAGTATTTTTAAGGTTTCAGTGAGAGAGAAGCGGCATCTATTATGTGTGAAGGTGCAGATACATAAAAAAAACTTTATTTATTGGCTTAAGTCATTGGCTGGCTTCTTTGTAAAAGAAAATTTAATTGAGTCAACACAAAAAAGCCAGTCAACGACTTAAGCAATTAAAGAATGTATTCGCTTTTTGGCAGGCTTTTTCGTAAAAGAACAAAGAAGCGTAGGTTGAACAAGTATAAATTTCGGTGCGAAAAAATATTATTTAACCAAATTAATCTAGGCTTTCGTTTCATTATCTAAAAGCAACAATTCATTCAACGTTGTATTGTAACGTTTCAGATTTACATCCATCCAATCGTCTAGTTTTCCAACCATTTCCTTGGACAGCTCTTCTTTGTAGGCATTCACTTTTCCCTTGCGTACAAAATTGTATCTAAAAGTAAATATTTTGGTAAAAGCAGGCCTTAACACTTACAGTTTTTTGGAACTTACTCAGGTTTTTCTTGATCCATTCCGTATTTATCACGAATCTGCTGAAATTCCCACAGATGATTTGTTTTGGGATTCCTTTTCATTTCGTCGAAAGATAAATGTTTCAACATTTTCGCCATAGTTGCATCGTCAATTGTTTTATTCAAAAATCGACAGACATCCAACAGAACCTGGCGTAAATTGATTTTCATTTGTTCAAAACTTGTATAAAATATCCAAGATTCATTACGTAGTGCATAGAATTCAGTTAAATGGAAAAATTTCATGTCCGTATCATCAGTGCTTTCAATTTCACCTCGAACAAACTGTTCGAGCCCTTGATCTTCACTCGAATCAAAATTACGCATGTGATAATAGTCGGAGACAATGGCATCCTTTAAGTTGCGCGCCACATAGACAATCTAGAATGGAGAATATAGCAAAGGTATTTCTGAGCTGTATTTGATATATTTTCATGAATATCGTTGTTACGGAGTGCATATTCGGTTGTGGGTAACAAATATAACAAATCGGATGATCAAATGGAGGTTAACAATTTTTTTGTTAATGATATATGACGATACTGTAACGTTTGATTCAATGTTGTTTTTTTATTACCAGCAATAGACTTAAATACATTTTCATTGGCTGGGAAGCCTTTTTGTCCACATTTTACATATGATTTCTAAGGTTACTTTAAGATACACTATGTAATATTTTTAAGATGTTTTTTTTTTATTTTGGAGTACACTTTTGTAGTTTTTTGATAGTTGTAATACTTATAATATTATATTATTCATCGCAACATATAAATAAATAAATGAAATGAAATATATATGGATGCTATAGCTATATCTGAACCGATCTTCGCCAAATTTGGCATATTAGCTTCTAGACTCAATTCGGTCGTAAGTGCCAAATTCCAACCCATTTAGACAAATATTATTATTAAGACGTTTGCACAATAAAAGGTAAATCGGACGAAGGTATATATGGGAGATATATCCAAATCTGAACCGATCTCGAAAAAATTTAGCAAATGTATTTCTGAGCTGTATTTGATATATTTCCCCAAATATTGTTGTTGCAGAGTGCATATTACGGCTGCGGAGGGCAAAAATAACAAATCGGATGAACAATATACATGGGGCTATAGCTATATCTGAACCGATTTCGATAAACTTTGGCATACTTATTTTCAGGCCTAATTTGGGTGCATATGCAAAATTCCATACAATTCAGGCTGATATTTCACGTTTGGTGCACAATAAAAGGCAAATTGGACGAAGATATATATGGGAACTATATCTAAATTTTGATCGATTATCTCCAATTTCAATAGGGTTATTCCTTGGACCAAACAAATGATCTGTGCAAAATTTCATCTCGATCGGGCAATAAATGCGACCTGTACTTTGTTTACAAAAATACATGGACAGACGGACGGGCGGACGGACATGCATAAATCGACTCAGAATGTGATTCTATGCAGATCATCAAAAGGAACTATGGGTCTATCTCATTTCCTTTTACCTGTTACAAACAAATGCACAAAGACATAATACCCTACACCACAGTGTGGTCAGGGTATTATGTCTTTGTGCATTTGTTTGTAACAGGCAAAAGGAAATGAGATAGGTTTCTTCTGGTAGTGAAATTGATAACAATCATATGTTGCATGAAAGAAAATGGTTTGCTAAGTTTCGGTTGGAGCTACTGTATGTTGGTATAACGAAGAGAATGCTAAGTGTAAGAATAAATAAGCATGAGGCTAATATAAAGGATGGCTGGAAGAGCACATCACATAAAATAATGTGGACATATTGGAGATTTTGCTAATGTACGAATATTGGACAAAGAGAGAGTAAACCATGATTTTGTCGTTAGGTTTTTTAAGTACAAAATCCTGAAGAAGTTAGAAAAATAGTTTTATTTATTCCACAAAAATAACTATCCGAATCAGCCTGGTGGAAGTACTTATACACATAAAATTTCAATGCGTCATAAAAACCACAATTAGAAAAAATTTAATTGCTTGATTAAAAACCAAGCGGCATACCTCATATGATCGGATCCATGAAAATTAACTTTAATACCCACTAACCCCTTACCTTCGACTTTTTATTCCATAATTGTCGTGGCAACAGAGGTAGACACAAATGTGTCTTTATCAAACGAGGTCTCTTCGTACTCTCTATGGGTTTAAATGCTGTTTTCATATCTGCATTTACCATATAATCAAATCTACAGAAAAACGAAAATCCATAAAAATCAAAACAACATTCTTAATCAATATCACAAAACTTACTCCAAAAACGGCGATCGAATTTCCAAATGTTCCGCCTTAGCCTTTTCAAAATCGAAATCATTTAAAACCAACCACAACAACTCCTGCATCCATGTTGTACCACATTTCGGCAGAGTCACCAACCAGACGTCATCTTCAAAGACATCCAAATCATGCACCCTTTTCAGGAATTCTTCACTTACACCCCAATATATGATTTTACGTTCCGACCAATTTTTGTCCAGCAAATTTGTTGGATATTCCGGAGGTTTGTATTCTATGGATTCCATTGTTGTTGTGAAATGAATTCCAACAAAGAATATTATTAAAAATTCTAAATAAAATGCCATTATCCGCGGTAGCAATGATCTGTGAATACTGAACGTTATCTTGGTTTTGATGTTTTTAAGTACAATTGTGAGTAATTTGAATTACATTGCAGTGGAGCGTTTGACGAGAGAGAACTGAGAGCGGAAGAGAGCACATTTATGTCGGTATGACCACATAGGTCAATTGATAAGTTTCATTATCAATTATCTTCTGTTCAAATGCAATACCGGCAAATGGAAGGTATTGCATCGGCACAGCTGAGTTGGTCAACATACGGTCTGTCTGTTCAGACCAGTGATGTCCATAATATATTGCGGTGAAAACCTTGGGAAATGATGAAAACCATGTGTCGTTAAAAAAAAATTGAGTTACAGTGTGTGACATACTCTAAAAATACTCTAAAAAAAAAAAACGCTGGAGGACATTAATATGTCAACAATTTTTAAATTTTCTCCTATACGACTTCAATCGGAGGTTGTTGTGACATGCATTTTTTAAGAATTTTTACAAATTTGAATAATTTTTTCATTCAAGAATTTCTATTCCAAAATTGGTTTGCCAGTTCATCGTCCCAGCAGCTGCGTCGATGCGGCTATCTGTATTCTTCTACCATGGGTATAGTTCAGTAAGTCTTTAATATTATGTTACGGAAACCCTTCTCAATACATTTTCTGCACTTTTATTCCCTAGATTGATTTATTGTATTTGGAAAACTCCTACAAAGTATTATATTTAGTCCCGCTTCGACCAGCACTCTACATTTATCTATGCTATGACAATTTACGATTAAAGTTCTTGTAAAATTATAAAAGGAACGTAGGAAAACGTATCATTTTTCCACGAAATACTGGAAATGAAAAATGTGAGTTTTGTAGAGAATTATGTGACACAGGCAGAAAAAGTGGTCATTATACCCTCAGCCATATGGCTAGAGCGGGTATATATCATTCGTTACGGCCAAAACATGTCTCATAGAAATAACGGTTTTAGACCCTAGGTCTCTTTGGGCCTATTCCGTTTCAGATCATTTGGAGTTGATCTAGCGATGTTCGTCTGTCTGGCTGGCTGCTCCGCGCGACATCTCTCGAAGGGAGTATCGGATTTGGCCTAAACTTGGTACATCACAATGTTACTACCAAACTTTGATCGAGTTCGGAGATGGGCAATGTCGGCCCACCCCTTTTGGTATCTACCGCACTAAAAATCGCAGAGAAAGGATAATTTGAATTTGCTCCAACTTTGCAAATCCTAATATTTGCACCAGTGTTAAGTCAGGTGCGAAAATAGAAAATATCGGTCCACTCCATCAAGTACCTCACCCACAAAGGGTCAACATTTTAAATAATTACAAATCTTATAAAATTTGATGTAAGAGTTCAATTGTCTTCAAATTAAGTGCATCACAATATTTTTATTGACCCAAGGTTTGGTCTGAAGATGGAATATATCGGTCGACTCCTTCTGGTAACTCCCCCACAAAGGGTCAAAATTTTGTATATCCAGGAGGCTCATAGAACGCGAAATTAACATCCGATTCCATTCAGACAAGATCTGTTATAAATATGGTAGAGATCGGACTATTCCTTCAAATACCTCCTCCACAAATTTTAATAGGCAAACGATCATAAAATCCGAAATAAGCATCCGGCTCTCTTCATATTTCACACACCCCATTATTTGTACTCACCCAACATCTGCTGTGAATGTGGGACATTTTTACATTTTCTAAAAATTATCTCCTATCTCATATAAAGTGAAGGAAATAAGCAATATAGTCCAAACCTGGCAAGTTGCAATATTTATGTCACGTTTATTTAGATCCGATACGAAATGTACAAAATTAGCCCACTCCTTCGGAACCTTCTCTATAGAGGGTCAACAATTTGAATAATCATAAAAGAAGTGAAAATATATTTAAATAATCGAACATTGGCTGAGTTGCATACATATGAGGGTAATTTTTCCCGCAATCTATTTTAGCTAACTATATCCAGAATTAAAATAATGTAAACAATCAGAAAAAGAAAGAAATTTTTCCGTCGAAGTCACGTTTTAAGCTTCAATCTGTTTCACCCTTTATTGTAGCTTCTACACCTCAAAGGTGCAAGTAAATAAGGCTGGAAATACATAAAGCGCATATTTGGCTGGCTTAAGTCATCGGCTGGCTTCTTCGTAAACGAACAAAGGAGTTTTAGGTTGACCTAGTTCGATTTTGGCCCTAGGCTCCTTTGTTCATTTCCGAAGAATCCAGCCGATGACTTAAGCCAGCCAAATAAGCGCTTTATGTATTCCCAGCTTAAGTCAGTACTTATTGGCTTAAGCCGTCGCCTACGAAGAAGCCGCAAAAGAACAAAGGAGCTTTATGTTGACTTCTAGTGTGTTTACATACAAAATCTTCCCTCGGGTTAATCGTGATAATTCACCAATCACAATAATTTGAACATGTGTCTCTAATTGTCGAATTTATTATGATTGGCCAATTATCAGGGTTACCCTGGAAGATTTGGATGTAAACGTACTTTTGGTTCTATTTCAGGCAATAATTTATACATGTTTTATCTACGCTCCTTTGTTCTTTTACGAAGAAGCCAGTTAAAAAAGCCTTTTATGTAGTCTCACTGTATAAGTTCGATACTTTGGTAATGCCAAGGTATATGTTCGATACATTGCCCCACCCCTTCCCCAGCATTGCAATTAATCGCATTAATTGGCTTCTCAATCGAGTTCAATGGGGAAATGTTCTCTGTCTCTCTTTTAGGAGTTACATTCGCCTCCCAGCGGATTTTTTTGCACATACATCCAACTAAGACCACTGACAATGTAGATGCGACTCATATAAAGCCTGTATACAATTTCTACTGACATTTACACAGCGATGGCCTAGGCCGTCAGACGAGTCCGAAATGTACCTCAAGGTAAGCGAATGTTGGATGGGTCCGAAATCCACCGACATTGTAAGCGAAGGCTGGATGTGTTCGAAATTTATCGACATCCGATACTATAGATTTTGTTTCATGGCCAGCGGACTGCTGGGCTAATTCGGATTGTAAGGGGAAAGCTTACGCTCTCTTCTGCACGTTTACCTTAAAGTCATATTCGCTCAGTTCGGATGCAGTGAGACACTTTTCCAATGCTGCCGTCGTTGTTGGTGGTCATAACCTTGTTCCGATATTGTGCTCATCTGCAACTACTCTTGTTCAATCGTTCTCGTTGTGATCACACGAGTTACGTCTTTAAAAATATATATGAATTAAATTATGCCCTCCAATCTATTTTATTTACTGTTTTTTACGATTATTGCGTTTTGTTATTTATATTCATTTCACCAACTCATTATCACGGTCTCCCGTTTACCACTACCATTCTCTTTATTATAATATATTTCTTTCTCTTTAGGATACTCCACTCTCTTTATTTACTTTCTTTCATTTTTGGATTAAATACTCATATTTAGTGTTCAAGGGTGGGAATACATAAAGCGCTTATTTGGCGGGCTTAAGTTACCGGCTGGCTTTTTCGTAGAGGGATAAAGGAGTTTTAGGTTGACTTAGTTCGATTTTGGCTAGTAAGAAGCCAGTCAAAAAAGCGTTTTATGTACTCTCACCTTAGCAACGTTTAAAGATCGCTCTTTATGAAGAAGATTATGATGAAAAATCGTTAACAACAAGACAATGCGAAGCAGAAAAAAATTTAACAATTAGAAATTTAAAATTTGCATCCATAGTTTTAAAATTTTTATTTATAATTTTAAAACTTCCATTCATAATTATAAAGTTTAAAATAATTGACGTGCTAACAAGGGGACAGCATGTCCAAGCGATTCCACATAAACAAATTTCCCACAATTTCACAAATCACATGCATTGCACTAGAACTTACAACAAAACATAGATAACCGGGTAGTGTTTTAAAAACACGATTGTCATGGTGATATAAAATTAGCTGCTTTATCTATAGCTACGTACAGCACGATTACCATTTTCATGAACAAATCTCTTTTTCAAAATCTTATCGGAAGCGAATGTTATCATATTGGCCAGTTGGAGTTTTTAGTAGCAGTGCACTTAGGTATGTATATTCTTGTTGTTGGCAGAGATGGGAACTGTAAATTATAATATACAGATTTTGGAAGTCAAGTGAAAAAATTATTTTCATAAAATTTTTATAAATTCCATAACTATTTACGCAAGGCAAGTGGCGTATTTTATTGTAAAATTACTTAGTGAAAGCTGTACCCTCCACCATTTGGGACAAATTTGGCAATTTAAAAAAAAAAAAAAACAAAATCGGTTAAAAATTCTGTTAAAATCTTACAAATACCAAATGCAGCAGTTATATTAGGCTCTGTACGACGACGTGGACCTGCATAGGGGGATATACCAAAACGTGGACCTTTACAGACAATTTTCTGTCGTAGGATGTAGTATCCATTACTTCAAATACCAAATTTGAAACAATTCCGATGAATAATGTCGCTTTAATCACCAAAATACCGAACGTGGACCTACAGTAGCGGTGCTCAAAACCGTGTTCTTGAACATGAACAGAAAAAAGAGATTATTTGAGAGAAAATTAAAATTCTGTTTTTCTTTATATTTTACGGTTCTATTTAATTGTTTTTAAACACGAATGTTTGCCAAAATAATTTATAAAGCAAAAGGATAAAAAAAATTTGTATAATTAAGAACTTAACACCGTTTTGTTCTTGATTTAAATAAGCAAAGAGAAGCCTGACTGAAAAGAGATTTATTTTCTTGAGCACCGCTGACCTACCAAAAACCAAACCATTTTCAAAACCAAAAGTCTTGCAGACATACAACACATTTGAGTAAAATTTTATCAACCTACTTAATTTCGTTCAAAACTAGAGTGATTTCCACAGACGGACGGGCATAGCTAAATCGACATAGAATTTTATGCTGATCAAGAATATATATGTATACTTTGAGGGTCTAAAATGTATATTTCGAGGCATTACAAACGGAATGACAAACTTAATATACCCTCCATACTATGGTGGAGGGCATGGTAGAATCATGGAGGTAAAGTCATGCAATCATATGTT